TGAAGTATCATGTTGTGTAACATGTTTACTCGATCAATCATAAAAACAGTTAAAAGGAGCTTTAGACTGTCTATGAAATTACAATTATTGATTTTTATGTAATTCTTAACACAAGCGCGTCAACCGAAAATCAGATAAAGGTAAAATAAATGGGAATAGAGATGGTAGTGTTAAGAACGAGAACACTGGTGGTAAAATGTGCAAACCATACCTTCAATTCTTTATTTTAAAAATGTGTATTAATTATCTCAAACTTGATTGTTCCTTCATTTCCATACCAATTATTCTGCGTTCCCGTTTTCTTCTATTTGATCTTCTCAACCTTATGCTGTCACGCATTCTATTTCTGACTGGCGTTATATGCTATTTATATCGATATATGTGGCACACATCACAGTAGCAGTAAGTGATAACTGAAATAAAATATACAAGGTGAATTAAATAAATTAACATAGAGGAGAAGTGTGTAAAGCATTAAAATGTTGAATATTTACAGTAACCTAAATAATGGATACAGCTTTTATTTAAACTTATTATCATTATGTTATTGTTTGCTGTGCAGTTTTGCCTTACCCTGCTAACAGCAAGTCTACTAACAACGCTATAATGTTCGTTATTGCATCGGAAGTTCACAGAAATTCTCATGTCCTCAAACCTTCAATAGCATAAAATAGAAGATCAGATAAGTGGCCAAGACTACTCTTATTATTTAGGCCTTTAAATAAAATACAAACCCACAACGTACTACAAATAATAAATCACAATAGTTACATGACTTGATCATATTTTTATACTAATCTGAGTAATAAATTTATGTCTAAATGACTTGTAATATATGAACGGTAAAAGGCAACAACAATTAATTTGTCAAAACACAGCTTAAAATTAGAATTATTCGCTGAATAATCAATAAAACAATACGAAATCCAACTCATTTACAATCGACCTATCGCTCATTAGTGATCGGATTCTATCAATCAAGTCTCAATGTGACCTCAAGTCTATGGGAGAGTTATGATGTCCTGCTAGTTAAAAAACGACTTTCAACCAAGTTGGTCCGGGTTCAAACTTCGTTTGGCCTACTTTGATTTGGGTATCCGAGTAGTATCACAAAACTGTATCTAACTAAAGTTTAGATCATAGTCAAATACACAGGCCTGTACCTAATAAATTATTTACATCGTTCATATATTTCTTATTATGACTTTTGCCACGTGACAAAATCGCCAATCAGAATACCGAGTTCTATGACCTTGCTCCTGTGCTCAAACCAATGACACGTCAACCAGTACTAGCAGTCTTGCATCAAATATGAATCTTTCTCTGTATAGTAGCTTCTCTCCTAACCCATCCGGTTCATTCCAGAACACATATCAGCCTCCTCTATATGACTCCTATATTTAAGATATACTTGGTTTATATACAAGCAAATCAAACAGGATCACATCATAAAATAAAAAAAATAATTATATAAGATCGAGCGAAAAGTGATTGTGAGTATGAGAGACTGTAAGTAACAGATTGAGAATAACTTAAGAATAGTAAATCATGTAATAGTAGTAAATAGGTCAAATGAAAGCATATAATCAAAGGTATACATATAATTTATTCATTTTATCATTTTATTCTATATGATGCATTTTGTTGTTGTTGTTGTTGTTGTTTTGTTCATTTAGCAAATTGAAAATCCTCGTATTCTACAAAGAGCTCATAAACTTAGCAATGTTCGTAATGCTTTAGATTATTTAGAAAAAACATGTAAAGTAAGTTTGTGAAGTTTATCGTTTTTTTTCGTTTGTTTGTTTGTGAATCGTATGTTACCTTAGATTAACTTATCTGATTGTTAGAATATTGTATTTCATATTAAAATATGTCTAAATTAACTAAGTGAGAATTTATCCTGACATTGATTAGGGAATTATTGACCCCACTTAGGGTGTTATTATGTATATATGTACAGTGGATGAACACTCAAATGAGGTAAACCAGTTTATTATCTAGTGCAAAATCATAGTATCTTCCAGTGTTTATATAATCTAATCCATTATTGAAGTGATTAGTTTATGATGGGTAATACTGGGACGAGTAAGAAGTAAATCACTCAGTATAGACTTTTTATGCTAAAATGACTGATTCTTAAAATATAACAGTACCTGGCTTGTTTTGATAGTCAATTGGCTTCATTTCCGCGATACAGTCGAATAAAATGGTCTTGCGAACCAGCGGTGCGTATTTATAGCATTTCCAAATTGCCAAATTAAAAAGAAAACGATCGATAGCCAACATGCTTACTTGAACTATGTTCCACGACTTTCAAACTAACTACATTCTGAAACCTGACTGAATTTGTTACTACACTTTAGTCTTTTTTTCTGGCTAACTTATGAGTAGATCAAAAAGAAGATATCCAAAATAAAGATAATAATATAATGAACGAACATTCAGGTGGGGAAGACCAATTTATCGTTTAATAGAAAATTACAGAATGTCTTCATAATATACGAAAACCATCGATTAAATACTTCATTTGCACATCTTCCATCAACTGTTTCTTACTTTATCATTCCTTTTATTACGATTACACTCTGTCTACATTACTGTTGTCGTCAATTCGATCTTCTCAATTTTCTATTGCCAGACATTCCAGTTATGATTGGTGTTAAATACTACTTATATTTGTCAACATAATTAGCATTCACCACATATATGTATATAAACATTTTAGTGAGAAGCCGTGAACAGTGGAGTCCAATCCGTGTCGGGTAGAGATAGGAATCTACCTCAGACAATGGATGAGGGGTTACGCAAGACCATTGATCGATTGCTGTTAGACACACACTGTTGGATGCCAGCTCAGTAAAATAGAGGTTAAGCATTCGCGCGCGAGACCAAAGGTCTTGCGTTCGAATCCCGTATGCGGGATCGTGAATGCGCACTGCTGAGGAGTCCCATACTAGTACAAAACGGCCGTCCAGTGCATCCTGGTTTTCAGTAATGGTGTAGCTTAGATTGATTCATGAATTCAACTAATAAATTTAAAACAATAATTTTATTCTCGAAATGTTTAGCGTGTAGGTCAAATTAAATTTACAGTTGTATGAAAGTCACTGAGTGATTTCTTGAAATTTATTATAAAGTTTCTAAATGCACTTAACTTACTATCTGAAGTTATTTATCAATAAGCAAAAAAATGTTTATTTGTTTGTTTTTCTTTTAAATATTTGTTCATTATAGATAAAACTTGTAAATATCAATCCCGCAGATGTGGTCGACGGGAAACCAGCGATTGTTTTAGGTCTTATATGGTCGATCATATTATTTTATCAAGTAAGCTAAATGAACTATTTATGATATCATATAACATGAAAATAATCACAGTTAGCACACTAATTTACAATTGTGGCTAGGTTAGTATTCAAAGGACGCAACGTTTCAAAGAAATAAGGTTGTATTATTTGGAAAAATCTGATTCATAAATTATTTTTTAACTGAACGATTACTCACAAAGATGTGGACGATGTTGAAATATTTAATAAGGGCAAAATGCTTAATCCGTGACGATAACATTTTAGAGTAAGACATGGTGTATGAACCTATTGTTGGTCACCAGCTACCATGGGACCGCATCTCCTGACGTCTCTACACTGCTTTGTTGATTAGACCTCTGGTTCAAAGGCTGGAGGAGTGGCCCCTAGGAAAACCACTTGCTTCGGTCTGGACACCTGGGTAGTATCACATCCCGCACACAAATCAAGTGACTTGTGTGACATATATGTGTTCGGTGGCCCCATGTACCAATGTTTATGTGTTCAAATTAATAAATATATAGGGGCAAAACACTGCTACTAGTATATATATGGAGCGTAACAGTCATCCGTCTTATATTTAAGGAATTGTCTTTAGTAAATAATATAGGGAGGAAATGACACAACAACAATGTCATGAGCGTTTAGGAATGATTTATTATGACAAAACACCATATTATTTAAAGTTTACATCAGTACTTCTGGGTATGAATTTGAATTCAGGGATATCTGTGTGTATGCGTGTATGTTGACGATTATAACACTGATAGTTAACAAAAAATACGTGGTAAATTGTACTGAATTTTATCGGTAACAGGTTGTCATGGCAACCATTTTCAAACTTATATATATATTTATATATACATATGGATTATGTTCTGTCGCAAAAGGAAATTGATAAAAGCTTTTTATAAATAATTGTTTTCTATATATCATATTAGCATAATCTCTTTACAGATCATAGATAAAGAATTGCGTCTGTATAGTTAGTGTACGTTGTACAAACAAGTTATTTATTTAATAAATAACTTGTACACTGCTCAACAGGATATATATGAGTTAAGCAAAACAAAATACAGTCAGTCAGGAATTAAAAAGAAAACACGTGAAAACTCACTTCAAGTTGATTAAATATGTCCATGTTTTGTTTTTCTTTTTCATTCATTTCCTTGCTGAAATGACCAGAATCATTTCCGGCTTTTAGTTTAAACAAACTGTGTACATGTTGTCTATTTTTTTCAGCAACAAATGGACAAAATATTTAGTGAATAAGTTTTATAAAAAATCAGTAGTATCTTCACTATAAAAAGGCATCAATTATTATCAATAAAAATTATGGATTACAGTATTATAAACTTATCCCATGTAATGTCAATAATCGTTTTACGTATAGATTCATTGCATTAATTATTGGGTTATCATATTAATTGCTTCTTTAAAGAAATGAAATGTTGTAGTGAGACTATGATTTATCGACGAATCAATCAGATTTAGGATAACAGGTCTTGTATTTTGGCTCGAAATTCGTTCATCCATTTGGTTAAATAGCGTTTTGGCATTTTAATTGATGTCAGTTCGTGATGGAAATCCTAAATCTAATTCCTAACCCTAACCATTAACTGCAAATAATAATCCTTACTAACACAGGTTTATAAACCTCGTTTAGCCCTGGTAAGTAAGTGGACATTCCTAAGGCCAATTTAACGTCGCTCGAAGATCGGCCGTAAATTATAGTCTCACCAATGCTGTTTATCAATTAAAATCAGAAATTATTTTTAAAATCGGTTTTTCAACGTTTACTAGATTCAAGGTCATCAGAAAGTATTAAAAGATGCATTGAAATCTCGTCGTAAAAGTCTCTCGAAATCAATTGATTCTGATGCCACTGGAAATGTTAGTAGCAAATCTGAAGAGACTAGTTTATCTGAACAAGTGGATAGTACAAAAAGTGTAACCGGTTCCAGGACTCGACAAGCTTTATTAACTTGGGTTGAACAGTCTTTTCGTTCCCATAAATCGTAAGTTATTATCAGTAATAATAATGAATTGATGTATTTGTTTTTGGTTTTAAGTTCTCCTAAATTTGTCTCTTAACTATGATTTCTACATTTTTTCAAATATTCACGTGTTTGTAAGTTATAGCATTTTGTAGTGAGATCATACATTTGAAAGGTACAGATTAACGTACTAGGATTCAGGTCACATTGTTTGTGCTAATGCAAGTAATACTTCCTATCGCCTATCCAGGTTAAATTGGAAGGACAGGGATGTGAACTGACAATTAACTAGTTGAAAACCTAGTTCTTTAATCATATAAACAATTGTATGTTTGTAAAATGCATGATTATGACTGAATCATAGTGATGTTATGACGGATAATAAATATACCTACTTTTAAGGCCTCAGATGTATCAGTTTGTAAATAACCTATGAAATCTGTATCCCCAAATTATTTATTATTCAAATGAAGTTTAATCATGTTCGTTTCGTATTGGATGTTCTGTAGATACAAGTATATCATTTTGTTTTATGAAATAATTTATCATATATTACTGATCAATTATTTTATTTTCTGATATATGTTCTTCATGAGCTTGTTTCACTCATTGATTGGATTTGTAAGTAGTATAATTCTTATTAATCTGGCCATAATCGAGTCAAGCAATCGATCTCACACAAACACTTACTGATTTTTCACTGTCACATATGTATCCTTGTTTGCTACATATATGTCTCCTGTAGTTTGATGTGACTATCAGGAAATGTATTGTTGTTTTCATTCATCACATTGATTATTTTTCTCGTCAGTTTACTACTTTTCATACTTGTTTTCTTCGTGTTGTTTTTTCTCTTATTACACAAAGAACATTAGAAATTAGAGTTACCGACTTCGGTTCATCTTGGCGTGATGGTAAGGCATTTTGTGCTTTGGTGCATAACATTAATCCAAGTCTTATTGATATGGGTGAAGTTATGCATCGAAAAAATCGTGAGAATTTAGAATTTGCTTTCAACGTAGCTGAACAAAGACTTGGTGTACCAAAATTACTAGATCCTGAAGGTAATTTATTTTCATATTATGTCAAACTGAATTGTTGTTTTTAAAGATTAGAAAAGTTGATACATTACGCTGTAACATACTTATGATTAGTATGGAAGATTTGTGGAGTTTGTAGTATTTTCATAATTGAATGAAGTCATTAATGCACACTTCTATATAGTCCATATATTGTTGTTCATCATTCCTGAATTTCAATACTTCTTTAACTAATATTGTCGTAAACAAGAACTGAGTTAGAGAAGACCAGTTCATTATTCAACGTTACATTACACAGTGCTTTCGTGTAAAATATGGAAACAACACATTAAATATATTATTTTCACATCCTCCTTCAGTTGTCCATTACGTGTTTCACGATTCTTTCAATTCTGTTGTTATTACAATTGTTTATTGTTTTCCTTTCTGTTTTCTTCAATTCAATCTTTTGCTGCGAAGCATTCCGCTTCTGTTTAGTGTTACATACTACTTAAAACTTAGAGCTGACTCTCCCCACTCTAGGCCGTACCAGGGAATTTGAGGGCATATTACCTCATATTTTAATATAAACTCATACTGAAGAAATAAACTTTCTCTTGAATTGCACCTTATCGAGAAGTAGATGATTACTGTGATTTTATATTTACAATAACATATTCTCCTTACATTTATTGATCTAATTCTAGATGTTGACGTAGATAAACCGGATGAACGTTCAATTATAACATATGTAGCACAATTTATTCTAATCGCTAGTTCACATCCACCTAAGGTTGGTTGACTTTTATTTTTTTCTTGAAAAGTTTTTCAGTTTATACGAATATTCGTATATATTAGAACGAATTGTTTGACAGAAATTGAGCTCTGAGTATGGAGAAGACATTATATGTGAAGATTATGTTTGAAATAAGTCCAGTGATTTAAGTAGTTTCAACGTTTTGTCCAGCAAACTTGTCTGGACTTCTTCAAAATCGAATTTTCATTTTGATTATTGCCTTGAAATGAGAGGCATCAATAACATAGCCATTTTAGTTTTGTTCAGTTGTAGTATCATTATTTGGTTGTGTAAAAGGATGAGCAAATAGACTGAACATATCTTCTACATATCTATGTAGGCTGTATTAACGTCAGCTTTTTTAATTTCTTTTTGGGAATTATTGGAAGAAAATTAACAACTTCATATGCTGTCAGAACATATACTTTGTTATGGATTCCTATTAGCTTAAAAATTGTTGGACTTCAAATGGATCTGAACAGTCATCTAAAGGTATCATGCTCAGTGTGAAGCCTTCAGTTACTAAGTTTAACGATGTGTGTGTTTGAGATAATTCATACCTGATCACTACTGACGGGTCTTCATCTATAGTTAAACAATTATTCAGTATTCTCTGATCCTCAATGACATTCTAGCGTCAGAAACTTACTATAAATTGATATGTTCTCTAAAAAATATTTGACCAAACTATATTTTATATTGATCATTAAAATGCACATGATGTAATGACTTCCATTACTCTTTTCTTCAAGAATTATTTTGTTGATTTGTAATTTACTATCTATTCATATAGAATAGAATACATAAAGTGATCCGAATCAGAAAATTCTGCAGTTAGTTTTGTCGCATTGTAAGCATCACAAACATTAACACAAAATTAGTTTAAAATAAATCATCATAAATTATTTTTCTTTACTGCTTGATTCATTATTTAATTTCCTGCTAAGATTAAATCAAGATCTGGTTCACGTCGATCAAGTACTAACAGTTCGGAAAAACTACAATCGCAACAGAAATTAAAAGCAGCAAATATCGACATGAAAACTGAATCTAAAACAGAAAATGAATATCATGCAGCACTTAGATTAGCTTCATTTGAACCTGACCCTGAAATTGACCCTGCATTAATCTTGAATGCATCAACTACTGCTAATTTCCTGGAACGTCGTCGTGCCAGACGAGCAAGTTTAAGTGGTCCACAAACTATGGATGATGAAGCACTACATAATCTAATTTTAGCTACAAGTCCTGTAAGTTCTGGGACTGGTGGTGCTTCTACACCTACAGACGATGCAGCTATTGCATTATCTTCATCAACACCAGGTTATACGCGTACTACTATGTCAGGTTCTCCATCTCCTCCTAGTTATAGTACATCACCACATCGATCTGGTCGTGCACGTTCATATGCTGGATTACGTTTATGTCGAGTAGCTAAAAATGTATCAAAATGTCGTGCAATTGCAAATATTCGTGTAACAGCTGAACCACCTCGAGCTACACGTCATATTGTTCCCGTTCTACATTTAGGTGGAGAGGTGCATATTTATCTAGTATTATTATTGCTTGTTGTTTGTTTTATCACGGTTGCCATTGAGATAATGCATGATAGCTCACCACTGGAAACTTCATCCTTTTGTTCACACGTTTTCCAAAATAAAATTGTTGTTCGTGTTAGTTTTTTTGAAAGACTGTACGGAGTATTTAGTTGTAATGGGAGTTTTTACATTTGTTGTTAAACAAATATCGGTATTCATTTTGTATTGTTCGTTTGAATCTTCCCATTAATGTTTAGGACTGCAATTGATCAGTTTCTTATCGGCATATGTGCATACTGTTTGGATTGCCTCGATATTGCTTTAATTCACAGGCTTTATAAGCAAAGATGGATGGTGGCTAGTAATGGAATCTAGGACGTGCATTTCGTCTTATTGGGACTTGTCAGCTAGATGTGCTTGCATCCCAAAGTTGGTGTTCACTCCGGGACTCAAACACAGTGCCGTTCACGTCAATGAGTCCCGAATAAGCCGAGACGCACGTTCTAGATTTCACTGCTAGCCATCATATATCCTTGCTTATACATATTGATATTGCAACTACAGTTTAAAGGTTTATTAGATTAAATATTTCAAAGAGTAATTTAATAAATCTTCCTTGCCTTGTACAGTTCACTTCAGCTATATGTAAATCACCAGAGAAGGTTATTTATCAAATAGCTTATTAAGAAAAACTACTATTAATAATAACACTGTTCAATAAAAGGTAAGCTACAACAAGCCAGTTAGTTTTAGTTCCTACTTAGTCTTTTCAGCAGAGAAATCCTGTAAACATCTATGTTGTATATGTTCTTAACTTACAAGGGTTATTGTAGATTTCCTGTCCAGTTAATCGTGTAGTTATCAGCACTTACCTTCTTTTGGTAAAACCAGATATTGACCTAAACTAATTCTTATGTAAAATTTAAGTGTTTCCTATAAATCTAGTTTTCTTATGAAGTAAAATAAGACTATAGACTTTTGTTCACAATAAGTTCTAATATATTTTAGCATATTTAACATTTTCATTATAAACTCAATTAATTCGTACATGTAACCTACTTATATATTTCTAATTTATAACACGTTCTTAAACATGTATGAATGCAAGAGCTGATTTAATTATCCTTTTTTGTTTACAAATATATGAAACTTCAGACTTGAATGAAGCGTTTCTTTATTCATTGAATCATCACTGAATTTATGCACATTTACTTATTTTCCACAGTGTACGTTGTCATTTAAACGTTGTGCTGTTTTTATACCAAACATACAAAGTATATATTGTTTACTTGTCATGTATATCTGTACGTGTATTTCCTTTTTTTTCTTGTTTTATTATCTCTGTCCACCTTAATAATTAATTAATTCATCCATTCTCAAGGGTAATGAACAAACAGAAGCGGAAAAGGAACGTGTTCTATTGATTACGATTAAAGAATTAATTGCTCGAGTTCGACATAACCCAATTGAATCACAAGACTTTCTCACTGAATTTGAAGTTAGTTCTATTCATCATAATTTTATTTAAATCATTAAATTCTATGTAAATATTGTATATTTCAAATTGTTTTCCTTTATGAATATGAAAAAAGTCGTAATTTGTGACAATGTTATTTAGTTTAATGTTTGAAATTAAGTGGTAAAATTTTTCAAAATTAGTAGTGTAGTGACAAGTATTCGACTTCCGACTGGTGTTGCATACTACTTATATCTGTGAACATAAGTAGCATACATCACAGTGGTAGTAAATAGTGACCAGTAGAAAAATCATTCAAAGTTAAATGGTACAAGACAGGTGTTACATTGAAATTCGTAAAGTCTTCTACAGTAGTATAAATCTAAGACCAAAATAAAATTAACGTGGTAACTTCTAGTCTTCGAAGTGAAACAGGTACTCTAATGACATTGAATAAAGAACGGACTATATTAAAAAATTGTTTATAGTTGAATATGTCAACTGCTGAATTCGATTTGACAGTATAGTATTATCAGAATCTCTTAATGATTCTTATATCCTGGATTTTATATAGTTTTTAATTGTTGGTGTGTATTGTGGAAGAGTTCGAAACTTGAACGAAATGAGTATTTAATATAACCGATTTTGTAATGGTCCTTCGAATGACATCTATTTGTGGTGAAAATTAACTTTAAATTTATGTGTGTCTTCATAGATCATTTAATTCAATAAAAATGTCAGTAGGGGGTTGTGGAGATTGCTGAATTTTGATTGAGACCACCACAACAACAACAATAACAAAAATAGCTGTAAAAATTCCATTAGACTATATTTACTGATTGAGATCATAAATGGATCAATGTTAGTCCACCATTGAAAACCTGGAACCACTGGACGGCCGTTTAGTACTAGTATAGGACTACTCAGCAGTGCTCATCCACGCTCCGCACACGGGATTCAAACACAAGACATTTGGTCTCGCGCGTGATTGCTTAACCTCTATTTTACTGAGCTGGCATCCAAAAGTGTTAGTATCTAACTGCAACCACTCCATGATATTCCGCGACCATACTATGACGAAATGGCCGTCCAGTGCTTTCAGGTTTTCAATGGTGTTCTAACATTGATTGATTTATGATCTCAGTCAGTAAATATAGTCTAATGAAATTCATACAGCCATTTTTGTTGTTTTTAGTCTTCTTAAATTAACAACAGGGTTTAATGTCAATTCATCATGAAATAATTTCACAGTGGATTTTATCGATTTTCCACTTAAATTCAGAAATAATCATTCTTTCAAGTTAAATTTTTTCCTAAAGACTGCTGATCATGTCAGTGAATGTTTTCATGTCTAAATCATAAATTTTCTTAATTGTTGACTGTAAATTGTACGAAGAGAATCATTTATTCATCATATTTAATGTCAGATTTTGTTCGATGCTTTTGGTGAATTCGTTTAAATTTGCAGTTATTAACTTCTTATGATGATTGTTATTATATGTCTAACTTTTCACATATTTCAATACGTATCTTGGACATCTACAGGAACCTTCAAAAGAATAAGAATGACAGTTTCTATAAAAAGATCCATTGCATGATGTTTTTTAGTGGATTAATATTGATTAACATCATTAGACCTTACATGATATAAGTCGAAATCATCTCATCAGATAAAATGATCAAATAAACTTAAGCATCTAAACCTCAGAACTCACGTACAATTCCAACTGAAAGAAACTAACAAAAATAACTTCATAAGTTATAAGAAACTTACTACTTCAACTCTAACTCTTCTTATTTGAAAATTTAACATAATAAGAATTCAAGATCGTTTCCAAAAAATATTCAATGAGGGTTGATAAACAACCAGATTAAACAATTTACAACAAATTAATATTATAACTAGATTGACACCTCTTCACAGACAGTCATTAATACAGTTTCAACTTTGAGTTACTTCGTTTCAGGTTGAAATTTCACTTTAACAACTTAAGGTTTGACAGATCAGATAGTATCACTTAAACCTAGACTTAAAGTGTGACTTGAAATCGGGTATAATGAATTTGTAGCTCGTAATGAATTAATAATATGGCACTCAATTATAACTGTAATATTTAGCAAGCTACAATTTATCGGAATAATACTAGTTAATTAAAATTGTTTGTGAGAAATGTGCTTTACGTTTTGTATGATCCATTCAGATTATTATTATTATTATTACTATGGTCATGATCATACAGAGTTTTCTCCAAGCTCAACTTGAACATGAAAATATGGCTGCTTATATTCGTGAACTTGATGATAGAAGACGTCAAGGTTTATTACTTGGCCTAAGACCAGAAGAATTAGAACGTGCTGAAGCTGAATGGAGCCGAGTGAAACCTGAACTTGATGAATGGCGTTGGCGTTTAGATAATGTTCTACCAGGTGAATGGCGTCAAGTTGGTCAATGGTTATCAAAATTAGAAAAATGTCTAATAACGGATGCATTGATAGCTTCACAACTTGGTCTGGAATTAGCTCCAGAAGCGAAAAATTTGACTCATGAAGAACGTGCAACACGACTTCGAAATTGCTTAAACGAACATGAAGTATGTCACTTTATATGGATATATCTTTTGTATGTTAATTGGCTACCATACACCTTTTCTTTAAAAATCAGGATTTGATTTTTTTAAAGAATATTCTTTTCTCAGAAAACTGTTATTCTGTGACATTCATCTTATCTTGAAGAGAATTCAGTAATTGTTTGTACTTTAAAAACGTTCTTGTTGTCTGATCAGTTATACTATGAGACTATTTTCGACTGATGATTCTCGTCTGAGATAAATAATTCTGATATATCTTTAATTATCGTATAAACATGAATAATTATGAATTACCATTACCAAACTTGATTGCTTTTAAAATGAAGTTACGAGAATAATTAATTACTTTCAAAGTCACAAAAAGTGACTGAAGTTATTGACAATATTTCCAGTATTCAACGAGTGTTTCTTGCTTAGCACTTTTGCACATTATTATGCTTATTCAGTGGATGATTAGTGCTGCGTATTGAAGTGTAGTTTTCGTTAAAGATTTTATTCAAAGCCCTCACTTTTACCAGGTTTGTGTTTTTCATTTGACATGTTGTGTTGCACTTAACTGAATATTTTTAAGGGAAACAAGTGAAGAAAACCCCAGCCACTTAAAATGCAATTTTATGCATAAATGTACTGATAAACTTCACTCATCCACCTAATAAATAGAAAAGTGATAGGAAGTACAAAATACTACATTTAGTGAACATTGAGTAATGTTTTGAATGACCTCAGCATCTGAAATTACTGCTAAGGATTTTACTTAATAAGATACTATAAATTTCATTTCAAAAATACAAGTCATTTCTGTCTAATAAAGAATTGGTTTGTGTTTATCAACTGTAATATACACAAACACATGAAGTTTGTGCTGATTATGTTGTTCAGAAAAACAATCAAAGCTCCACGACCAAATCATCCAGCTCAGTGAATAAAACTCCACTTAAATCATGCATCTCAGCTACCAATCTTCACCATCTCAAAACTGGAATCATACATCTAAAGTTTATACAAAATATTCAAAGGTTTAATATACATAATATTACTGTCACTCATAAGTCGTCTTCACGGACGTGGTCATATCATGTAGATAACAATAAATGAATAGTTGAGATCATGAGTCAATTAAATTTAGACCACCATGGAAAACCTGGAAGCACTGAACAGCCGTTTCGTCCTATGCTCAATCCATAGCATACTAACTAGTGACTGGCTTCAAGAGATATATCCTGGAGTTCTAGTAAGAAACAATGACCAGTGGAGTTCAACCGGGTCAGTTGTGAATTAGTAACTCACTGATGACAATGGTGGATGTGTCGCTCAATTTCGTGGATTAGTTGAAGTTAGACATTAACACCGTTGGATGCCGGCTCAGTGGTCTAGTTGGTTAAGCACCTGGCGCGAGACTGGTTGGCCCTGGGTTCGAGTCCCGCGAGGCGGGGTCGTGGATGCGCACTGCTGAGGAGTCCCACAATAGGACGAACCGGCTGTCCAGTGCTTCCAGGTTTCTCATGGTGGTCTAGCTTCAATTGACTCATGATCTCCACAAAACCCCTTCTGATACTAATAAATGAATATCTTTCATGATGAATTCAACAAAATGTTATGATTGTTCGTCATTTGGTTTCTTATTATTTCAGGATATTTTCAATAATATTGAAGATTTAAATCATTTAATTAATAAATTAAGTGAAGAAAATGAAAAATTAAATGAAATTGCTCAAGATGCTACAACATCAGATGTATTAACTACATTACCAATTCGTTTACCACAAATTATTGTTGATTCATTGAAATCTCGTTTTATCACAGCTTATTTAAATGGTCAATTAACTAAACGACGTTTAGAACGTTTAGTGTTACGTTGGGATTTAACACATAAAATAACTATAATACGTGAACATTTAATTAATTGGCAAACAATTAAATGTAAAGAGACATCTGAAGTAGATTTACATATTAATGAAATTAAAGTAAGCTATCATTTTATTTATAAATTAATATTATTCTAATCTAGTTTAAATCATTAACTAATTGCTATTGGGTAACCTATTGAAAACTTAAGAAACAGTGAATGATTATTTGATAATCTAACTGTGATCAATCTCTAATGCTAAATGATCTTCAAGTTGAACAGTTTTCATTAATCTAATCTAAGTATTAATCTGATTGTATATCAGTTTCAAATGTTTCTATAAGATGGAACTTCGGGTTGTATGATGCAACTTCGGTTTATCAAAACATTTTTTCTTAATAATTGGTTAGTTTCAGAGGGAAATATAAGGTTCTGTTGAGTAATTTGTTCAAAGCATATCGTTGAGATATGCATAATTATGAAGCTTTTCTACAAAATTCGTATCATTTGCATATAGACCTCTTGTATCGTGTATCTTGTAAACGTAACATAAACCTAGATTTCTCATCGAGTTTGTTTCAAACTATCTATCTTTATCTAATACTGTAACTCTGTCTGCCTCTCTTTGAACCCCGGTTTATGTGCATGATAAAGAGATATTAATTCTACAAGGCTCCAACTGAAGTAAATTAAGCTGGGTCTAACCCTACGATAGAATTTAATACGTTGACCACATAAATATCTCTCTGATACCCTATAGAATAAATAACAATAGCCATCTAATACAAACTATTTAGATTCAAGCAAACGAAATTCATTAAGTTTATTTGGCAAATATAATTGTCAGTATAGGGGTTGTGGAGATTGTTAAGTTTTTGATTGAGATCATGAATCAATTGATGTTAGACCACCGTTGGAAACCTGGAAGCACTGGACGGCCGTTTCGTCCTAGTATGGGACTCTTCAGCAGTGCTTCCAGGTTTCCAACGGTGGTCTAACGTCAATTGATTCATGATCTCAATCAAAAACTTAACAATCTCCACAACCCCCATACTAGTAATCAACATGTGCTCAATAGTGACTAGCTTCGTAAGGGAATTCTCGGAGTTCTAGTGAGAAGCCGTGACCAGTGGAGCCAATCCGTGTCGGGTAGAGACAGGTATCTACCTCAGTACAATGGAAGTTGGTCGCGCAATTTCGTGGATTGGTTGATGTTAGACACTAACACCAGTGGATGCCGGCTCAGTGGTCTAGTTGGTTAAGCGCCTGGCGCGAGACCGATAGGTCCTGGGTTTGAATCTCGCAGGGGGCGGGATCGTGGATGCGCACTGCTGAGGAGTCCCATACTAGGACGAAACGGCCGTCCAGTGCTTCCAGGTTTCCAACGGTGGTCTAACATCAATTGATTCATGATCTCAATCAAAAAATATAATTGTATTATTTTAGGTTTCGCTCTGTGTTCAGTTAGTCAAGTCCTGAGTATTTGGAATCGACGAATTCATCGGTTTTGTTTTAACGAGCATATTATATCACAAACCGTAAAACAAGTCACATTCCTTAACCCATTGAGAATGGTGATATCCTAGGTCAAACTTTTAAAAAAAAGATTTGTATTTTGGTCAGTGGAAATGCATAGATTACTTTTTTTAGCCTGATCGGTATTATGCCTGAAATAAAACTGCTGTATTGCACAATCAAGATCATTGATATTTGTCTGAGTATCGCCTTTATCATTCCTCCTACACTTTTCTTTTACACTGCTTACTCTCCTACTTATTATTTATCATTATTATTGAAGTGAAATCAAACATGGACAGAGACAACGGAGTTGTCAGAACACTTCAAGTCTTCCATATTCTTCATGAAATTTATCACGAATGTATATTTATTGCATCAACAGCATAACACACTCAAGCTAAACGTCACCTGGATATTATCAACTTAATTGTAAGTACCCAGGGACAGTAAGCGGTTGACATTGTTATCTATGCTACTTATGATTCTATAAGAATACAATCAAGACAATCATTCGTATATATCGAGATGTTCCATCTGGCTATAAATGGTTTATTAAGAAAAATCCATAGACTTTAATTACCCCAAATAATGAAATTTTAGAGAAATCTATAAAGAAACTAGACTTAATTTATGTATAGCACACAAATTATGATGTATTGTGTAGTTTTATATTTAGTAATCAACACAGTTTTTGATTCGCCTATGGTGTTGAACAGATTTTACTTAATATCGTCAGTTTATGGAAGCTAAATATGTACACTACTGGATGCCATCTCAGTGGTACGAAGATTAACTCTTCGCCCAGAGACTTCTGTCCAATACTTAGTTTTAATTGTTATCTTAATTCTATCAACAATTTAAACGATGATATCCAATTATCTCCACAAACCTTCTTTTAGTAACATTTCAATTTATTATCCACCAAGTGTTGAGTCTAGTAACACTGGTTGTATTTACTTATTTTTATCCCTTTATCAAAAGGATTATCTATCATCCATGAATATACCTGAAGATATGGATAATGGCTTGGATAAGCTTAAAGAATTAGCATTAGAACGCGATGATATTGCGTGTCGAATTGCTGAACAACGTGAAAAATTGGAAGCCAATGCAAAATTATCAGGTCCTATGGTAAATCAACAAGCTTCCGTTAGTACCGGTGGTGGAGCATTCATTTTAACTGACTATGCTGAAACTGAGCGAAAAGAAACTAATTTCTTTTTAACTTCACTTAATACACGTTGGAAAGATACATGGTCGGATCTTTTGAATATACAAACACATTTAGGCGAACTTTCTGTTAAATGGAATCTATACGAAACGGTTTGTTTTTTTCCTTTCTAAAAAGTATTGTTTTTATTGGTTATTTATTTTAAAGCAGCATTATGTTTGATATCAATCGACCTCATTTCATGTTCACTCGGAGATATACGTTAAATAGGATCATTGATTGTTGAGTCACCCAATGATGAGTTTATTCTATACCAAACAATAGTAATGGCCTTCACTTTACTGATTGTACTTTTTTTTCAAGTGATGTTTGACGTACTTATATTGATGAAGTTGGTTGGAATTTAAGATATAGACACAGACTAATATCAACGAGGTCGGACTTGTCAGTTGTTTTACTTGATTATGAAAGTCCACACTAGTACAAACCTATGACCTCACTACGAGTTGATCAGTACGTGAAACGACATCCTATGGCATTTGGTGGACCACGAGCAAGTTGGCTATTACAGTTACTTTGAGATGAGTTCCTGAAGTTCTAGTAGGAATCCATAAACTGTGAAGTTCAGATATGTATAAAGTGTAGCAGTTGTCGCCAATAGGATTGAAGGATCTCCCCACCATATCGTAACTTAATTGAAGTTGAAATTACATCGCCAGACTCCTATCCAGTGGTTTTGATTTTTAAGTGTTCTCTATGAGAGCTGAAATTCAACTTTGTTCCTTTGAGGAGGAGGCTATCAGTGTACGTTGTTTGAGTGTCTCATATTAGGACGAGACAGCTATTTTCCACAATTATATATATTTACCACTACTCTTGCGCTGTTTATAGATTTGGGATGGTGGAAATTAATTCAGCAGATTGAGTATTTTAAAATACAATAGCACACAGGGGATTGGTTTTTCGCTAGTAATGTAAAACTTAATTAGTGGCATCATTCTGACCGTCTATTGTTCATGATTTGCTTTCCATGTTGATTTCTCTACTTGTCTCTCTTTGTTCCATTGAACATTGACCGGAGTATTTATCGTATTTTGTTCAAATAACTATGGTCAGTCATTTAATAAGCAAGGTAGTTTAGTCAATATCAATCCATTTAATGTATAGAACAATTTACTTTCATTCTAAAATTCATCTTTATTTTTTAAAAATTTTTTCTCGTTTCTTTTTTTCTACATTTTATTCTTAATAAAAGGAAAAATTACATCTAAGCAACTGGTTAACAGAAGTGAGGAAACTACTTGCCGATGAGAGTACAAGTGCTGAAGAACGTGAAAAATTATATAGTGATTTAAAAGAATGGCGTACACGTGTATCAGCTTTAAATGATCTTGGACATGAATTAATGCATAGCTGTGATATGACAGCATCGTCTATTTTAGATAATGAATTGAAGAATATTAATAAAAATTGGACTGAAGTTACTACTGAAGTAAGTGCTATTATAATGCGGTGTCGTATTGTATGTATGCAAGTAGGTAGATCGGCACTTACGTATGTAGGTAAAATGTTTTCTTGTTTGTTCGTTTCCAAACATGACTGTGTTGATGATTTATAAGGTTGATTTAAAGTAAAAACTACCTAGAGCGAAAACATTCAATAGATTTAAGTTAAGAAAATGGGTTAAAACCATATTAAATGAATGGCTTCAAGTGATCGATCAAAATTAAGATACCCAATGTTAAACATTAGCGCGAATTTAAAAGGCTATTGCGTTCAGCTTGTTGCTGGAGTTTGGGTTAGGTGCATTAGTGTTACGAGGATTCATATTAAGAGTTAAGATTTATCTGCGTTAATCGGCACTATGATTTCCAGCCGAATTTATTGATTATTAACATTATGAGGTTTATTAATCCTCTTAAAACTCTTAGTCCTACCTAGTTTCATCATTTTTATGTATCTTGGACCTCCTTCACAAATTTGCGTCCCGATTAGTCAGCTTCAAGGTCACTCTTAAAACTTCTACAGGCTGTCAGTATAGTATAGATTTATTGAGAGAGTTTAATAATCAGTTATCATTATTATATTAAACTTAGCGTAAATAATTAATCAGTCCAATTAGTCCTATTGACATTACAAGTGAGTAAATTGACAAACAAAGGACAGGAACTAATTCCAGCTTCATTGGAAATCAATAACATATAGAATACTACTGGAATGGAATAAATCCAACCAAAAGACTAAAAGTTAGTGGTTTTACTACCAACCTAACCGTAATTTAGCGACAGTAGCGCTCTTTACAATGATGATCTTTAATTCTAGCAATGACAGCTTTCTATAGATTTAGGTTTGAATCGAACACTACTTAGAATAACACAACCTACCTCATCTCACAGATTATTGGTGCTAGTGGTAACATTTAAAATATGTGTCGAACCAATATTAAAAAGGTAAGAGCTAGTATGCATTGAAAAGCTACGTAAATTCAAATAGTTTCCCCTTGGTTTTTCTTGGTTGTGAGGGTTTGTGATGGCTACACGTAACAGTGGCTCTGTTTCTCTGTTCCTCCACGTAGAAATAACTTTACACACACGATAACATTAATCACAAACACACAGATGAAGAACTTTCTGTTAACAATAAAAAAGATGCATTTTTCACGGCCAAAGTTTTTGGCTTATCATTATAAAAAGAGGCCACCTTCAAGTAGTATATATACGAGTACGGTTTTACTTTGAATTAAATAAAAGTGTTAACAACTTTTGTGCTTGAACGTGTTATAACGCTCGGTTTTACTTCATCTAATGTTATAACGGTTGGGTTTCTACGTTTACACTTACGGGACGTTAATTTACCTTAGACGAATATCTACACTAGATTCCGTTCCAGTGTCTATTCTACAGGACTTCAACACAACTCAGATCAAGAACACATGATTAGCCTGACCACAACGTAAATATATTTCCACACCGAAACCAGACACAATCCAACATAAATGAACAATCAATAATAAGTGAGTATAATAGTACTAAGGATAGGGGAACATATAACTGATCTGACACCTGTCAGACTATCTACATGTCTGAATAAGCAGACAACTAATCATTATCATTCTCGTCTACACATCAGAACGTTATTTAATAGAATTCTACCATTTCGTTAAGATTACTACTGATCGATATCATTTACTGAGTGTGTACGCACATTTTACTGCACAAAATGTCGATGGAAATGTAAAGCACAATATAAATGTTGTAACTCAATGGTCGACTGTTATATCGACGTCGCCACTGCTGTATCTGGTATCGTCATCAGGTTATATTTAATGAGTCTTCACTGTTATGTCCAGATGGGCTCTGTTGAGTCCTCAGCATTATTGCTTTTATTTGACAATTGGGAACCACTTCAGTTCCTCGATCTTATTGCTTATACTGGTAAACGAGAAATACTGTAATTCCCACAATACAAAATGAGAAAAATATGGTATAAAAGATAAAAAACACACTGAAGAGCGATGTCTATGAAAGAATACCATAACACATGGTCTGTAGAAGATTAGGAATGAATGCATCTGTTTTGTTGTGATCGATTCTAAGCTCCATGTTAACCAACGTCTTCAACCACTGATTATGGGATGTTTGTATGAAATGTTTTACAACATATTGTGTACAGTTCACATGAAGAAATCCACTTTGGACAAAAAGCGAGAAAAAATTATACTCCATTGTCTCCATTAATTACAGTACAATATCATCACATTTTTTAAGTAAGTGGGAGGATTTGGAAATAAGTTGAAATATAGACAGTTTAAACAAGGTACTTAATCGATTATTGTCATCTAACTAGGTACAGGATTTCCTGTCTACAATAGATTTATAGATTACTTTCTGTTATGTTTTAATGCATTTAAGTGTCCGATTTCCCACAGGTATGGATTTATATCTTTCAATAAAATTTAAGAATAAAATATTAAGGATTAGACGAGGATAGATCAGAAGTAGTACTCCTCTATTTTGATAATGAATATAGATGTAAAGCCAAGCACATATCCGTGGCCCCATTTTTTAGCCTACATTTTTTAGTTCCCGGTTGCACAAACCAAATTAGGTGGGACCTTCAACCTAGTAGAGGTTGAAAATCAAATGCTTTAACGATTGAATTGCCACTCTTAATACAGATATAACATATATTGATAAGTGTGAATGTATATCTGAATTGCTGAATGCGAAAGCCGTGATTTTATTATAACCGCTGGTGGTGTAAATACCAGTAGGCAAGAAACCTGGGTGGTTTTGTGATATTTTTTAAACATGAAATTGTCTTTATGAATACGTTTTTAATACATATGAATGCATTACAAATAATTAATTGCAAATCATATGTTATTAAATGTTTGTGGTTTTTTTAACTTGCAATCACGCTAGGCTTTAGGTTTCAACAGTATATCACTTTGAGTTGAGTGACTATGTATTATCACTACGTGTTGTAGTTAAAGTTTGTTTGGGAGCCAGGTACATTAATCTGTACTTTTTAGTAGTTTGTTGGGTTTTTTTCCACAGTGAAATGTTTGGCAATATTTAAGTTTGATCTATGGTATATCTCGCTGTGGACACATTATTCACACACTAATTGATCACCCATGAACAATAATCAATATTATATTCCACTCTGACTGGTATTGTAAATGTGGTTGGATATCTTAGTGTACTTTGCTTAGTGAATCTTAGTGTCACACACTCTGATTCAGATATGGAACCAGCGATTATTAAACAGATAAAACCACAGCGTATGTATATTACGACAAAATCCAAAGGGTATGGGGAAAAATATTTCACACTGTAGACAGCTTCTGAGTTCGTGGATGCTGACTCTTAAGGAGCCCCATAGTAGTACAAAACAATCAGCTGTCATGCGCTTCATTGTTTCCAATACTTTTCTAAGGTCAGTCGGTGATCTAAACTATGTAATAGATAGATCTATCTATCAATAATTTGACTTATCACGACTTACCTTCAATAGGAAGCCAGCCATTTAAATCAATACTTTGCACTGATTAACGCTTATTACGACTCGAATAATTTTATGCAGAATCTTGTTATTACTGCAAGACTATATCAAAAAGTTAGTTAACTAAAAATTCGTTTTATATGTTTATTTGATTTGAAGAAAAAACTGAAATCTCATAGCATAGTTAATCTATTTTATCTATAGATTTGATTAGTTTTTCCATTCGTATGAGGCCTAGTTTTTCATATTAACTATGTAAGTTTACTACAGATTTGTATTGTTGGAAATTACACATTTCGACCTACTTGGGAACCATTAGATAGATATATGTCTAGCTTCAAATGTTGATGTTAACAGTGGAGGCACAAAACCAGAATTAATCAGTACAAACACCATCGTGTTATCCTGAACCAGATGGAACGGTCGTCCTGAACTTTGTTGCTAGTTACAATTCAAATATAATGAGAACTTGTGACTGAAAGGAATAGTCAGGGCAAACCGCGTAGGAGTCACATTTGCCAATTGAAACTGATCTATTCCCAGTCCTTAGTATCAACAACTAAAGAATACAAAACCTTTGAGATAATTACGTACAAGTATTTCACTTTAGAAATCAATCAATGTATGTCTTGGTGTTTTTCACTTAAATTGATTATATCAGGTTCTTTTTCGTAACAAAAGTTAGTTTCTTAACGTTCATTATATATATGTGTGGATCATCAAATCGAGGTGTAAATAATTTCAATCTATTAAAATCTTTTTTCCTCAATAGGTTATCAAATTTGTCGATTTAGATCATGCTGAAGAATTAAAAAATCGTAATTCTGAAGCTATGTTTCGATTGAATGCATTCATCAAATCAACTGAACTTTTATTGGTCTCTGATTTTGTTCTACCAGAGACTACTGATTTAGATCAAGCTCATTCAGCTACAGCTAATTATCGTCAACAGTTAGAAGAAGCTCGTAAACAATTACTTGAAAAAGCTCGAAGTGATTATTTGGTTAGTGTGAATTAATTTATAATTTAATTTACAAAATCTTTTCCTAACAAGAAAATTCGTTTAATAGTTATATAGTGGTACATTTTTACATCTAATCGTCACCAAGTTGCACTCTAAATCGTCTGACAATAAACACAACAATGGCTTCTTTTCCTTACCCACAGTAACAAATTTTGAGGGTATGATCAATAACGTAAAAAACTATAGTGATTGGTTTTTGTGTTATTGAAATATGTGCGTGATATGATCGAGGTGATCACTTTTATTCACTTAAATATGTATGAAGATATAACATGCTGAGAAATAAATTCTCCCTGACTGTAATTGCGTTCGAATTCGAATGTAAACAAGTGATAGCATGATTACTAGAGCTCCCTATTATTAGAATGATAATCATCACACAAACTATTGGCTTTTATATTAAACTTTAAATAATAATCTCTGGCTATATCGTTCTTAAAATTCTCAGTATTATTTGACAACTGATTTGAGGATTGCAAAGTGGTGAGGTGTGAAAAACTGTCCACTAATGTAGGGGCGGCTAGGAATGATAAATTTAAACCACAGCTGTTTTAATGTTGTTATTTCAATCGACAATAATTTGCAATTACCGTATCCTGTACCAAACAAATCCCAAGACTTAACAAACTGTACCTGATGATAATGAAGTTATTGTAAACAAGTTTCCGTCCAATTATTTCGTGTTTTTTAAAAATAATACTTGATTCAGATTGTCACATGATCAGTGCTTTAATTTTATGGATACTTGAAATTTCTAGA